TATATATATATATATATGTATATGTATATATATGTATATATATATATATATATATTATGCATATATACGCATTAGATATAGTGTGTAATAGGTCATAAGCTCTCATCCAGAGGGTTTTTAAGACACTGTAAACAAACACATAGACAAAATCCCTTTGTTTAATGTATATTGTCTCTAAAACTCCGCACAATATTCCTCGTGTCTGGGAGGTTAAGGGTTTAGGGTTTGTAGTTTTGCGTTGAGTGGCGTTTGCTGTTTTCTGTCCATGTAGCCGAATGTTGTCTCTAAAACCCTACATCCTAACCGCCCGTTGTTTTGGGTTTAGGGTTTAGGATTTAGGGTTTTCCTTTGATAGTTACTTGCCTTTGGTGTTTTTAGGGTCAAGATGTGGTGGCGATGCAGAAGTTGGATTTGGCACACAAAGAAGGTCATTGGGTGTTACTGCAAAATATTCATTTGATGCCTCGCTGGACAGTAGAGTTAGAGAAGAAGTTAGATGCGTTTTCATCAGAGGGTCCTCATCCTAATTTCCGTTGTTTCCTTTCTTCTGAATTATGCGATTATATCCCTGTGGGTATCCTCGATCGCTCTATTAAACTTACAAATGAACCACCACAAGGCCTCCAAGCTAATCTAAAGAGAGCTTTCGCTTGCTTCCCTAAGGATGACTTTGATGAGAAGGACCAGAAGGTCAGCCTACACAAATTACTTCATATATTGCTTGGTTCTACAGTATTTATTCCTCAACTCAATTGATAGAAACAAACACAATATGTACTTCTGTTTCGTTTTTGCTCTGGGGAGTTTCAGGCGTACGCATGCTGCATCATACATATGCGTAGATGTCCATAATATGATTTCAACTACTCAGTACATTTCTCACGAAGCCTGTAGCTTTCATAGCTGGGTCTGTGGATATATGCATATATATATATATATATATATATATATATATATATATATATATATATATATATATATATATGTATATATATATGTACGTATATATATGCAAATATCTAGCTGCATCCTTTAGAATAGCCGCATTCTGTTTCAGGTGAAAGCGATAATATTCGGTCTTTGCTTCTTCCACGCGGTGTTACTGGAGCGCAAGCGCTTTGGGCCTCGAGGCTGGAACATGAATTATCCGTTTTCTATGGGAGACCTGCGAGATTCAGCAATGGTGTTATTGAATTATATGGAGCAGCAACAAGGAGGATCGAAGGTGCCTTGGGATGATCTCAAATATATCTTTGGAGAGATCATGTATGGTGGCCATATCATCGACCCCAGAGACAGACTTGTCTGCAACACCTACCTCAACTTCTACATGCAGGCAAGTACACTATTAACCTTCTCTACATCTTGTTTCTATGGATTTGTTCTGTCTCGATACTCTCCTTCGGCTCCACTATCTGTGGTTTGTTCTGTTTCATCATTCATCTTCAGATTCTGCTTTTGTGGCTTTCTTCTGTCGTAGTATTCTTTTCCTGCTCCTGTTTCAATAGTTTCGTTCTTTTTCAATATTCCTCATCTGCTCGTGTTTCTGTGGTTTTTTTCTAAGAGCACATGTGTGCTTGTGTGCACGCATTAACATGCTATTTGCTGCCATAACTCCTATTAACAATGAATTGCTAGTATTATATTATAGATTCACCATAGTTTCCTTGAGAAGTAAACAAACAAACAAAGTTAAATCAAGAAATCAACTATTGCTGCACTTCATTGCAGGACCGCCTCCTCGACGAAGCTGAACTTTTCCCCTTCTGCGAACAGCATGAAGGCGTCTCGTACAAAACCCCTCCAGCTCAGAGCTATGAGAGGTATTTCTTCCAGTTGGATAAACCCTAAACCCTAAACCCTACAAAACCCTCGTGCCCAGAGTTATTAAATGCGATTTTAGTAGTTGGTGCTATAGCAATGCCTGGTGCTCCCTAGGGATGCGTCGGTCTGTGTGCTTTTGTACCTACGCATCTATACTTATATATATATACATATATATATATATATATATATATATATATATATATATATATATATATATATGTATTTCCGTATATATTACGGTGTATATGTTTACACTTGCAAGGGCACATATTTCACTTTATTTGTGCATGCGCGTACACGCCATCTCTTCTCCTTCAGGTATATGGAATGTGTGGCATCGATGCCTCCTGAGACACCTCTGGCCTTTGGTCTTCACCCCAACACGGAGATCGGTTATAGAACTCAGCAGTGTGAAGATCTGTTCAAGACTCTCCTGGAGTCAGAGGGAGCATCTGCAGGAGGCAGTGCAGGCAAAGGAGGAGCTGAAAACGATGGAGAAGCGGTCAGATGAGGGTCTAGGGTTACGGGGGGTTGTAGGGTTTAGCGGTGATCAGCGGTTAGGACTTGACGGTGATCAGGGTGTATAATTTAGTGCTGCTTAGGGTTTATGGTTTAGCGTTGATTAAGGTTTAGGGTTTAGGGTTTAGGCCTAAGGTTTACGGTTCCGGGTTGTCTAGGTCTGGCGGCTTACCTTTTAGGGTTTAGGCCTGAGGTTGTTTAGGGTTTGATGTTAGTGAAGGCTGAGCATCTGAGGCTGTCTAGGGTTTAGCGTTTAGGGTTGAGCATCAGTAGCAATGAAGGAAGCATCTGTGTCTCTTCGATAATGCCCTGCACCGCACAGCGCCCAGCACTCTCGGAGTACTAAACCCTAAACCCTAAACCCTAATTCCTGTCGGTGTATCTGAACTTCAGCTTTGCAAAGAGATCCTCGATGAGCTGGGAGACGCGCGATTCGACGTAGAGGAAATAAGTCAATCAATTCCTGATGAAGAGAAAGGACCTTATCAACACGTTTTCCTGCAGGTCAGCAAGGGTTTAGGGTTTAAAATTTAGGGTTAATCTTCTAGAGCGAGGGTTTCAGTGTTCAAAGCGTGTTATTTATCGCCTTCAAAACCACCATGCTTAATTGTAGAGGATATGTGATGAAGTGTCCCTCCGCTTACTGCTTATTGCAAGTGTTGAGGGTTTAGGGTTTAGGGTTTAGGGTTTAGGGTTTCGAGTGTGTGTGTTTCATTGTTTATTTTCTATAGGAGTGTCAGTGCATGAACGTGTTGGTGCGGGAGATAAGCCGCTCTTTAGTTGAAGTGGAGTTGGGCTTTAAAGGAGAATTAACTTTTTCTGCTTCTATGGAGAAACTTGTAGAAGACATTCGTATGAACAGAGTACCTGCTTCATGGATGAAGGTTTGTCATTTTTTATTCAATCAATTTGTTTTTAATATTTAATTAAGTTTTAACTGACTGGATATTTTTCTTTCAGCGCAACAACAACAACATAAAGTCCTACTATAGTGAAGGAGAGACACGATGACCTCCTTCGCCTACAACAAGAAAAAGAAAACTTTGTTTTTTTCTGTGGTTTATCTTTCAGGTTTCGTTTGCTTCTTGCAGGCCTTTGGGGTCCTGGATAGCAGATGTAAAGCAGCGGTTTGAGCATCTATCTGAGTGGACAAAGGAGCCAAGTGCAACGCCAAAAGTAGTTAACTTAGCTCGTCTTTTCAGTCCTCAATCTTTCTTAACAGCTATCAAAGAAGTCTGCTCTCAACAACACCATCTAGAACTCAACAAACTCAACGTGCTCACCACCGTCACCAAAAAGGACGTCGCTTCCATTGATGCACCCGCCAGAGAAGGTCAGCAGCGCATACACCCCAAACCCTAAACCCTAAACGTTAAACCTTAGAGGGTTAAGAACAATCCTGTGTTGCTTGTATATACACATCTAGATACACCTCATGCGTCGCGTGAATGCGTGCATGCATACATGCATGCATTAATTCTGGTTGGGAGCTTGTTTTAAATACATGCATTGGGATTTCATGTTGGTTTTCCATGGGTGCATGCAAATACGGGTGTGCATGCACGCCTTAGGATTTAATCTTTCCGTCGCATGCATGCATGCATGCATGCACGCTCTAATATTTAACGTTTCTTTGTCATGCATGCATGCATACAGGCGCTTTCGTGACCGGGTGCGTCCTCGATGGGGCCCGGTGGGACGTTCAAGGCGGCTGTTTGGCTGAGTCGAAGCCGAAGGAGCTGTTCTTCCCTATGCCGGTTATACACTGCAAGGTAATAAACCCTAATCTGAATAAACCCTAATCTGAATAAACCCTAATCTGGATAAACCCTAATCTGCACAAACCCTAATCTGAATAAGCCCTACTCCGCAATAAACATCAAATGTAGCTAAACCCTAATTTGTGGCAAACCCTAGAGTGTAATAGTCCCTGGTCTGTAGTAAACCCTAAACTCTAATAAACCCTAGCCTGTGACAAACCCCCATCTGAAATGAACCCTAAACGGGGTTAAACCCGAAACAGTGAAACCTATGTCAGCAGCAGCAGCAGCAACAGCAGCAGCAACACCAATAACAACAACAACAACAGCAACAACATGGCTTAGTACCAATGCCATTACCACCAATGATGAATCTATGTGTATGTACACCATATGCTTTTTTATCCTCCTCAGGCCTCTCTAGAGACAAAGAACGAAGACAGCAGTACCTACATCTGTCCAGTTTACTTAACTGTCCAAAGGGGACCCACATTTGTCTTCAACGCTCAACTCAGAACCAAGATGCCACCAGCAAAATGGGTTTTAGGAGGAGTCGCCATGATTTTAGACGTAGGGGGAGCCGCATAACCAGCCCCATACATGCATGCGCTGACCCATGCATGCANCATGCATGCATTCTACCGTGCATGTATGGTAGCATTGGTGGTGACGCATGCATCGGTGCAACCATGCATGCATGCATGCGTTCCTGCATGCACCCATGGACGCTTGCATGCGCTTCCCTGGAGGAATACGCCAGAGTTTAAAAATGAACTCAATGTGCGTGAGGCCAACCGAATGACTTAAGGATTACGTATTTATTGACTGAAGCGAGCAAGAAACAGACTGGTGCCCTATGGTAATCTTCGCTGCTGCAGTATCTGCAGCGGCTGCAGCTGCAGCAGCAGTGGGCTGCAGCAGCAACAGCTGCAGCAGCAGCTGCCGCAGCAATATTTAGAGGTGTGGGGAGCTGCATGCAGGAGGGGCACCAACCGTAACATGTAATGGCATTGATAGCAGCAGCAGCATGTAGTAGGAATGGCTCTCCTTTAGCTGCAGCAGCAGCACCACCACCATCAACCGTAGCAGCAGAAACAGCAACAATCAGTGGCAGCAGAAAAAGACTAACTTTTGCAACCAGGTGTGTTGCTGCGCATAACTCATAACAGAATCTGTTGCTGTCTCTTCTGTCTCCTCTCTGCATCATAAGCAGAGCCAAGCACTTAGGCTGGTTGCTTCCAGTTGTTGTAGGGTTGTTCTGGTGTTAATCCATTTGTTTGGTGGTTTGAGTCTATAGCTGTTTACATAGGTCCTCCGACTAAGTCAAAATTTATTTAGGGTTTAGGGTCTAGGGTTTAGGGTTTACTGAAGAGCTGCAGTCGATGCGTGTATGAATATTTAATTCGCACAAAATGGAGGGTTCACGGTCTAGGGTTTAGAGTTCATGGATTATACTTTAAGTCTTGTGGCTTTGGTTCTAGGGTTTATGGTTTAGGGTTTAGGGTTTAAGGCTGTACAGGGTGGTGGTTAAGGGAGGAGACCGATGGTGTTGTGGTGGGGGCTGCATGCACGGCGGCGACGGGCGTCTCCGTCTGCTGTCTCCGCGTGCTAATTGCGACGAAGACAACACCATTAAGTTAGAGAATACTATGAAATTATACTTCTTTTTATTCAACTCAACGAAAACGAAAAAGAAAATAAACTGAAAACAGCAGCACCACACATAACGCACACAACGCAGCCGCCACACCCCCAGACCCCCCCACCCTAAACCCTAAACCCTAAACCCTATACACATAAATTAGGGTTTTTCTTTTGAAATTTTGTCTGAATAGTTTGGGTTAAGGGCTTTCAGTTTGATGGTTGCTCTTCTCCACCTTGTCAGTTAACTCTGGAATAGCAGCCTCTAGGGTTTAGGGTCTAGGCTTTAGGGTTTAGCGTTAAGGGGTTAGGATACAGGGCTAGGTTGTTAGGACTTACTGATGCCGAGAGAGTTAGGGTTTAGGGTTTAGGTGGACTAGGACGATGGGACTGCTTCTGTTGCTATGGACTTGTCTACTTTCATTTCCTGTAAGTTTCTGCTGCACGGATCCTCAACAAAAATAATAATTAATTATATGTAATTAAGTGCACTTCACCTCTTTTCATTCTGGTCCAATGCTCTCCGTTCTCATAAAATGGATCGAAGAGTTAGACTTTAGGGTTTGCGGGGGTCCCCATTTGCTGATTCAGATGGGGGCCCCCATCTGTTGATTAGGAGGGGGGCCCCTAGGTGCTGAAAACAGGGGGGCCCCAATTGTTGTTACTTAAGGAAGCTCCCAGCTTTTGTAGTGTCAAATGACAACAAACAAAGACTGAAGCTGCACAGCAACCCTGGCAAGGTGGAGGGGCCACCCTAGGGCTACAGCTGCAAGTTAAGAGTTGGTGCGGTGCTTACTGCTGATGCAAACGAGTAAAGGGAGGCTTACAAAGCTAGTGTATGGGGTTGATGCACATGGAGACGGCTGAGAGACAGAGGGGAGGAGACAGCGACAAACAAATGGAGACAACGACGAATACATGAAGACAAATATATGCCGTATACAACAACCATCGGTTTGGGGTGTAAAGAAGCAACAGGCGGCGCAAAGAAACAAAAAGACGGCAGCAAGGCGCATATCTGCAACTGGGGATGACAACAGCGAGGCGTAGACACAGAAAGACAGAGAAACTACACGAAAAGACAGAGGAACTACAATGTACAAAAAAAAAGCACTTGTTTTCCTCGTATCTCTGAAATTCATCTGCGACAAGCAGAGCACAAAGGAGACAAAAGAATACAAAAAGACGAACAAAAGCACTTCTGCCTTTCCTATGTTCTTCATACATTTACGAAGCCGTCTCCCAGCATATAACAAAACAAATTTCGCTGGCTGCTAACACAACTGCTACCCTTCATAAGAATCTAGAAGCCCCATTACTTCATACTCTTTGCTGCGGCTGCCGGCGCTGCAGCAGCAGCACCAGCTGCTGTGGAGCAGTTGCACTGGCTGCAGCTGCTGTACTTGTTACAGCTGCTGGGTTTGGTGCCGCAGCTGCTGGACTTGTCGCAGCTCTCCACATGTTGCAGCTGCTGCAACAGCTGCTGCGTTAGGGGGGCGTCTTCCTTACTTGCTGGCAGCAGCAAGTGCAGCAACTGCAACAAGTGCAGTGCAGCAGCAGCAACCAGTTCAGCAGCTGCAACAAGCGGAGCTTAGGGTTTAGGGTATAGGTTCTGGCTGGTTTTTTATTGCGCCTCTCGGTGTTCGTTTGTTTCCTCTGTGTTTAATGAGATATGCAAACACCGCAGGAACGCATTTGTTTAGGGTTTAGGGTTTAGGGTTTATGGACGCCTTAATCTGTGTACGTTTGCCCCTTCAGGCCTCTTGGGGTTCAGGAAGCGCAGCACCACCAGCCACATTTCATCGGCCTCCTCGGTTTGCTGCTGCTGCTGCTGCTGCTGGCAATGTGGGGGAGGCAGCACTTCGTGCTGACGGAGGAGCTTCGCCGGTAACCAGCAGCACTGTAGCACCAACATCAACAGTAACAACGACAACAACAGCAACAACAACAACAACAGCAGCATCCACAAGCGATTCCAGTCCAACCTCCAGCGGTTCGGGTGGTTCCCAACCACCAGATGCGGGATCGGGATCGGGATCGGGATCGGGGTCGGGATCGGGGTCGGGATCGGGATCGGGGGGAGGATCCCAGACTCCGACGCCAGCAAACCCTCCTACTGCAGCAATTGTAGTACGCCTATCGACATTTTCAAGTCCTTGGTAGCATTACGTGCTGGCCTTCTGGTTGTTTTTGCTGTTGTTTTCGAATTTCTTGTCGCCACTGTTGTTTTTGTTTCTACTGCTGCTGCTCTTGCTGCTGCTGCTGCTCTTGCTGCTGCTGCTGTTAGTTGCTGCTGCTGCTGTTCTTTGTTGTATGCAAGTACGAAAATTCACTTCTTCATTTATTCTCAGGTGCCCCAGACATCCGGCATGTGCAATGATATTCAGTTGTCTGCCGCGGGGTCCGCATGTAAGTTGCATGCATTTTGCTTGCTCTTTGCTTGCTGGTTCGCTTCCCCATTTGTTTGTTTTTGTTTGTGTGTTTGTTTGCTTTCTTGTTTGTCTGTGTGTTGGTTTATTTGTTTGTTTGTTTGTTTGTTTTTTTTGTTTGTGTAATAAATTGATCCTCACCTCCGTCATATTCAATATATCAGCCTCTGTCTCCTGTATACATATATATATATATATATATATATATATATATATATAGAGAGAGAGAGAGAGAGAGAGAGAGAGAGAGAGNTATATATATATATATATATATATATATATATATATATATAGAGAGAGAGAGAGAGAGAGAGAGAGAGAGAATGAGACGTGCTTCTTATATGTCTCGTCATAGGGGCCTATTTTGTTGTGTTCAGCAAACGACCCAAATGACACCACCCTCACATACACCTGGTGAGTGTCTCTTCACTTATAGCCCGATATGTATGTTTGTATAGTACCAGGTATTTATGTGCCTTTTCTGCCTCCCCTTTTGTAGTATTATCTATATAATATGTAATAGCTATATATACTGATAATAGTTGCAACATTATTATAACAAAGTGTTTTACTTGCATTTGAGCAGCAACACTGGCCCCCGCGCTGGAGTTAATGTGTTCATTGGAGTATCAACTGCTAAAAGTTAATAATAATACTTAAAACAACACAAAGAAAAGCTATGTCAGATGATATTACCAACCCAAACCCTAAACCCTAAACCCTATACCCAGCGAATGTTGCGTGCAGGAAGAACACGGGCCCTGCCTCGCTGAGTCTTCAGAACTTCTTTCTAACAGCCGACGGAGAGGAGGTGACGATCCCCAAGGACGTTGTCTATGCTGCTGCAAACGAATTCATCTCGCGGCATCTCGGCGCCCCCAGCATTGAGCTGGAGTTCTCTGTCTATGTCACAGACGTAAATGGAGAAACAGGGACAGGTAACAATATACATACATATATATATATATATATATATATATATATATATATATATATATATATATATATATATATATGGGTGGGTAGGTATTTGCGGATCTACTTATACATATATGAGCGTATGTGCATAATATATATTAGTATGGACGCGCGCGTAGCCTCATGGAGGCCCTTTTGTGTGTTCTCTGGATGTTGTGTTTTGGGTTTGCAGCTTCAGGGAATCTGACTTTATCTTTGTCTTTAGAGCCTCCAGCTCTAGGGTTAGGATCGGATAAAGATTTCACCATAAACAAAGAAGATAGTGTAGACCTTGTCGTTACACCCGAATACTGCCCGCTGGTCGCTACAAATTTTGACACTGGGGTGTCTCTCCAGTGGACAGCCACCTGCCCCCAAGACTCCCGCACAGCAGACCAGCTGCTGCGCCTCAGCAGCAGCAGCAACAACAGCAGCGTTAACAACAAGGCCAGCGTCCGCCCCTACACCCTCACCCCTGGGTATACGTACACCGTAACTGCCAGTCTGCGGTACACTGCAGACGCCAGCAGAACAGCTAGCCAAAGTTTTACAATTAAGGTCCTCACAGACACAGTTAAAATACGGTTTCAGTTCGCCCCTTATCCAAATCAAGATGACGGAGAAGGCGACACGGATGAGGACTTGAGGCTATAAGCCATAGGCTGTACACTCTAATTCGGAAGCGAAGCAGCAGCAGCAGCAGCAACTGCTGCCGCCACTCCAGCAACAGCCGCAGCGGCAGCAGCAGATTTTTCATTGCAGCAGAAGACGTTGTAGCAGCAGCGGCTCAGATGGTAGCCACTCAATTAGGCGTTGGACAGCAGCAAAATGATAAGGCAGCTACACTAGGGAAGCTTCAGCTGCTGCTGCAGCTGCTGCTGCTTGTACGTCTGTTGTTGCGGTCCAATATAAGCTGCTACTGCTGCTGCTGCTGTCGCGGGAGTAAAAGCTGCCGCTGCTGATTCGTATCCGCCGCCAAAGCGGCAAGGACACCCGTACCGCTGCTTCTGTTGCTGCAGCTGCTGCAGAAGAGCCGCAGCAGCAGCTGCTGCGGCCCTCCCATCTTATTTTGCTGCTTTCCACGTCAGAAGCTATCGTTTCAAGTGCTCTTGCAGCTACCGCTGCAGCTGCTGCTGCAGCTTAATATCTGTTGCTGTTGTTGTTGGCGCTAAAGGAACAGCTAGCGTTGCTGCTTGGCATTCACAGCCAACGTGTGTACTGCTCATAGACCTAAACTTTGCTGCTGCTACAGTGCTGCTGCAACGCAGCAAATTCCCTGGACTGCTGCAGCCCGTAAGGCTACAGAAAAATACACGGATAGTTCAAGTTGAGGTGAAATGAATCTGCTGCAGCAGCAGATCCTTACAGACGGGGAGACGACTGTCTCCTCTTGCCCCCCATTAGAAGTTATCGGGGTGTACAGCACACACATCGCAGCAGTTGCTGCTGCTGCTGGTGCTGCTGCTGCAGCTGCAGCTGCTGCAGTAAGTTCTAGCTAGATTGCTGCTTCGGCACAAAGTCAAGGCCTACGCTGCGAATGTCAACATTAGCAATCTGCTGCAGCAGCATCAGTTGCTGCTGCTGCTGCTGCTTGGTTCAGTCTCAAATGGTTACCCGTTGCTACACTTGGCTCTAAGGAAGAATAAATATTCCGCCCCCTAATAGAAGAGGAAAAGCAGCACATTACAACAACTTATTATGTTAAACCCAAAAAACCCTAAGTATCTTAACCAAGCGAAGCAAGACATGGGCGTTGCTACATGTGCATATATATATATATGTATATATATATATATATATATATATATATATATATATATATATATATATATATATATATATATATACATAAGAATAGGCAGACATATATTATATAATCTATATATTGTATAAATTATCTATAGATAACTATAGACTCGCTGTTTCTAACGAGTTAAATGTTTCCGCTGGTGAGGCTTCAGGGGAGGAGCGAATCGGGCTCTGATGCTGCAAAAAGAAGGACGGCCGCTTTGTGCTGAAATCTGCTGCTGCTGCTGCTGCTGCTTCTGTTGCTACTGTTGCTGCTGTTGTGCTGTTGCTGTTGCTGCTGCTGCTACTGCCCCCGCCACGATAGAAAGAAGTACTGCATTATATTCGCATTCAGCTAGCTTTGAGGCGCTTGTGGCCTTCTTTGTCTAGCTGCTACTTGGCGCCAGGCGGGCGGCCGTTACTGCTCCTGCCGCCGCTGTTGCTGCTGCTGCTCATCCTCTTGCTGCTCCAGCTTTTTTCTTGGAGTGCACGTAATAACTGGTGCAGACGCACGGGGAGAGTCACGTCCGTTAACTGGGTGTCGAGCAGCCTGCTGTTGCTGTTGCTGTTGCTGCGCTTGCTGCTGCTCTTGCTGCTGCTGCTGTTGCGGTCGCTGCTCTTGCTGCTGCTGCCGTTGGTGCTGTTGCCGTTGGTTCTGCTGCCGTCGCTGTACCAGCTGCGGCTGCGCTTCCCCCCCTTGTATCAGCGGTCTAGACCTTGAGGATCTTCTGGTTTGCGTAAGATTGCTCCATGCAATTTGCTGCTGCTGCTGCTGCTGCTGCTGCTGCTGCTGCATTTGCAGTTGTTGCTGCTGCAAGCGCAGCTGCCGCTGCAACGCGAGGTCATGAGGCTGCTGCTGCTGCTCTCTCGCATGGCGAATGAATGCCTTGAGGCGTCGTAGATTTTCTCCTTTGGGGAAGTCACGGCAGCAGCATCCAGGGTCTCCTATCTCCGGAACCGTTGCTGCTGCTGCTGCTCGCTGGCGCAGCAACAACTGCGGTGTCTTGCCATCAGCAGACTGCTCCTGCTGCACCTCGGGGGCCCCTTCTAGCACCAGCAGCTCATCCATGTGTAGCTGCAGAAGCTGCATGTACACCTCGTGCATCTCGCTGCGTCTCCTCCGAAGACAGGTGGGCACCAGCCTCCCTATCCCTCTGTCGTGTCCTCTTGGCTTCCCGTGGATTTGTGCTGTTGCTGCTGCTGCTGCTGCTGTTGCTGCCGATGCTGTTGCTGCTGGCGCCACAAAAACCAGGCCCCCCAGCTGCAAACCCTCAGCAGCCAGCTCAGAACGCAGCTGCAGCGCAGGGAGGAGGCCCCTGCCTTCGCTGTAAAGAATGACACTGTGGGGTGTTTGCTGCTGCTGCTGCTGCAGCCACAAGAAGGCAGCGCGAATGTCCATACGCACTGCAGCAGCGGACGGGCTGCAGAGCCTCCGCGGCTGCTGCTGCTGCTGCTGCTGCATCTGTTGCTCCTGAGCCGAAAGGCTCTTTCTTGTGGGGCAGCAGCAGAAGCCGTACCCGGTGTATTCGTAGCCCAAGACATTGACGTTAAGCGAACGACAAAGAAAAAGAAGAAGAGGAAAGGTAAATCCTAGGTCTGTGTTGCTGCGATGTGATACCAACAAAGTTTGATTTGCTGTTGGATGACGCAGGAAGAGAGCAGCGATGGTGCTGCCGCTGGCTGTCTGCAGTTGCAGCGCCTTCAGGCTGATGCTGTTGCAGGTGCTGCTGCGCCAGCATGCAACGCAGGGGAAGCGGCTCTTCAAACTGCTGCTGAGGCGCATGTACAGCTGCAACTGTTTGCTGTTGCTGCTGTTGCTGCTGCCCCGCTGCCGCAGCCCCCTTGCGTCTGCTGTAGCCACGTTTTGTCGTGCATCCCCTGCTGCTTCTGCTTCCTCTTCGTCGTCTTCTTCTGCTGCTCCCTGACCTGCACCACTTGGTGCTATGTCGCTGTCTCCATCATGAATGCTGTTGCTTCCTTGAGACGAACAAGAATGAAGCTGCAGCAAGCTGTTGCTGCTAGGCGGCCCGGTGCAACAGAACCCAGCTGCTGTAGACTCATTTTTGCTGCAGCAGCAGGCAAAGCATCTCCTCCAGGGCGCGGTAGCGGCACAGGCGGGACACAATACAGTAGGCAGCTGAGCTGGAAGTTCCTGCTGAGGCAGCAGCAAATAGCAGCTCAGCTGCGGCTCCGTGCTGCCGAGCTTGGGCAGTCTTGGGATGCTGGAGTTGCTTCTGTTGAAGCCTTTGCTGCTGCTGCTGCGGTAGCTGAGGAAACGCCTGCAGTGGCTACTGCGGATCTCGTAAGTGGTAGCAGCGCAGTCGGGGGCCAGCCACCCCCCCCTTGGTTTGCGTGGACCTTTGCTGCAGGGCAGACACAGGCAGGCAGTTGCTGCTGCTGCTTCCGTTGTTGCGGTTGTTGTTGTTGTTGTTGCAGGTGCTGCTGCTGCGGTTGCCGCTGTTGGTGCTGCTGCTGGTGCTGCTCCTGGCTCCCCTCCTTCCCCTCCCATCATGCTGTATGCCGCCTTCGCCCCCGCCGCTGCTCCAGCTGCACCGCGCTGGCGTGTTCTTGAGGGAATGAGGCTGCTGTTGCTGCAGCTGAAGTACTTGCTGCTGCTGTTGCCGCAGCTTTTGAAGCCTTAGTTTCTACAGCTGCTGATGTTGCGGCTGTTGGAAGCCTTCCTTGCCACAGTTGATGCAGTTGCCGCCGCTGTGACGGACGCGGCGGCGGTCACCGCGGTTGGCGCCTGCCGGGCCAGCGTAGGGTTCTGCTGCTTTTTGTTGGCTTTTTGCCGCAGTTTCGAGTTTTTTAATATATTTACTTCCTTATTTATCATGTGTTTGCAAGGAAAAGCGGCAACTCTCGGCAGGAGCGATGCCAGGGGGCGTCGCTGCTGCAGTTGCTACGGCTGCTGCTGCTACTGCAGTGGCCCGCGCTACTGCGGTGAACTCGTCGACTGTCCAGCGATTTGACTGAAATATAGGGGAGGAGTTGCTGAGTTAATTGAGTTAGAAACAATAAAATGCAATAACAGACAAAATGCCACTGTTGCTGCTGCTGCAGTGGCGGTGGCGACAACAGCTTTATAACATACAGCGGGCAATCGGTGGCGGGCGGGCCCGAGCTGCTGCTGCTGCGGCGGAGGCGGTCGTTGCTGCTGCTGCCGCGGTTGTTGTTGTTGCTGCTCAGTTGAAAGGATAAATATGTCGGTATTATTAAACAATGAAAATCTAAGGTAGAGAAGCAGCAGTTGCGGCTGTTGCTGGAATACCCTTCGCCTCGGCGCCGCCGACACGCTTACCACCATCCAGCCCTCGCCGCCGCGCATGCAACTGCAGTAGCAGGTACTCCTGCTATTGCTGATCCTGCTGTTGTTAGGAATGCTGTTGTTGTTTAAGAGACGTCATTTCATACGATGCTGCAGTTCATCTCTCCAGCTCTCTTACAGTCTTGTACCAGTGCCTGCTGCTGCTTGTCTGCCTCCTGCTGCAGCTGCAGCCCCGATCGAGACCGTCAACGGGGAGGTTTTTATATCTACCACAATTAGTATCAGCATAAACAACCACGCAGTGGCAAAGACATTTGCCTCGGGAACGTCAACAGCGGCAACAGCAGCAGCAGCAGTAGCGGCAGCTGCAGTAGGCGTGAAGGCATCATCTGCGCCGGCAAGCGAGAAAAACTCAAGACTGCTCCACGCGTTACGGTTATCTGACAGAACCTGCAGCAGCAACGGCAGCAACGCAGCCAGCGCGAGCAAGACCAGCAGCTGCTGCTGCGGCGCTCATCATGCACTCGACTGGTGCTCCAGGTATACCGTCGCAGCGCCGCCCCAAGCAACTGTATTCTAGGGGTCTTTGCTGGTGCTGCTGCTGCTTGTAGTCTAAGTGCCTTTGCCGCTGCTGCTGCTGCAGCCACAGTAGTTGCAGAAGCACTTACAGTGCTACTACTGCAGCCAAATTTGTTGCTGTTGTGTATGAACCCAACCAAAGACCCACCAGCAAACGGCCGGAACTCACTCTTATCTCACATGTGTTGCATTTGCTTCGTTGCATACTCAATGGTATAGTACTGACTATGTAATGAAGTGAATATCTTGACTATCATTAATGTTACTATTATTATTCGTCAGTCTCTTTTGCTATTGCCACTATTTTTGTTTTTACTATTGTTTTCACTATTATTACTCTTACTGTTATTATTATTTGTTTTTATCACTATGTGATTGGTGAATGCGCGCAGAAGACGACAGCAAACGGGTGCGGCCTCTTCTCGGGGCCTCGTCTAAGCTTGGAGGGCCATTCACAAAATTGTATCATCATTATTTTTTGTTTACTCACTCCATTACGTAGTCAGCACTATGCTTATTTTATTAGTATTATGTTGTCTTTACTTAATCCTTTACAAATTCAATAGTATACTGGTCACGCATTGATGCGCTGCAGTCAACTGCAGCTTGGTGCCGTCAGCGTTGCTGTTTCTGCTGCAGCATTGCGGGGAGGGGCATTTATCGAGTGCTCGCGGCGTTCAGCAGCAGCAGCAGCGGCAACAACCGCCACAGCAACGACAGCAACAGCAGCAGGAGAAGCTTGACTCAGGTGAGATGAAGAATTAGACCAGCATTTAGCTGGTGCTGGCGTCTCTGAAGTTTTATGAATAATTGGGATATCTTTGTTTATATACTTTAGGAATGTATTCTACTAGTCAATATGTGTGTTTAGGTTTCACGCGATATGTATGAAGTTGTAAAATTCATACATATTGCTCGTTTACATGTACTTCGGTTCACGTTAGTATAACATAAGGTCTCATTGTTTATCTCCAGCAGGAGTATGTTTAACGTGATTCTGAATGGGGTTTCTCTTCTTGAATAGTGAGGCTAAACCCCATCCACAACGCACTAAACCCAAATCCATACCTCCTAAACCAGCGATGATTCAAGTTGAGTTGCTCAAAGCCTGTATACGCTTCTCGGCGAGTGCACCCCACTTATGATTCAACATTTTTACAATTGTTATAATTGACTTGTGACTGAATGTGTGCATGCATAGCCTTGAAGTTGCTCGAGTTCATGGTTTAGGGCTGAGGGTTTTAGCGTATTCTCAGGCCGCCGTCTATGGGAAGGCAACAAAAGGAAAGCTGGTAGCGAAGAAGACGTCCCCAGAGACAGTAACCCTAAACCCTGTTCTGAACCCGAAACCCTAAATTCAGTCAATACGCAGCGCTAGTAAACTAGAATTAGTTCATATATAAAGGCTTGGAGCCTGCAGTTTAGGCTTTTAGGATTTAAGTACTTCAGTGGAATGTGAAAGTCGGTATACGGATTGCTGTGAGGCAGTTGGACCGGCGCAACAATATATTATCAGTGCAGTATATGTACTACAGGCATACATAATGTTGTAGCGTTGCAAAGCACTGTATATACACTATGCTGAAACGCAGATTGCAATATATTGGAATACAATCATTTATCCCCTAGTTGTGGGTGTGCCTCCTGTGAGCAGCGGCTGACTGGAACCTGCTAAGGAGTTGGCTGCCTCCACAGCTTCGGAAGGCGCAGCAGAAAAAACAACCATAAACGCTAGAGGCGCTTTTACCCTAAACCCTAAACTGTAGAGGTTCTGTCACCCAAAACCCTATACCCTGGACGTGAGCGCAGCCGGTTGGCTCGGCTGAAGGCAGCCACCTGACTATCTGAGGCAGGTGTTGAGGGAGCCGAGGGTCTACGGCTACAACTCTTGTCAATGCAACAGCAGAGTCTTACATTAATAGATACACATATATAGGTATATAATTGTATATGTACCTAAGAATATGTATTTATATGTATGAGTCTCTATATTTATGACATAGAAATATATCTATGCATATATAGTCAGCAGCTCTCGGAAGCGCTTGCGCTCAGAGCTTTTTTCTATCACGTGCGGCAGACGATCTGCCGAACTCTTTTGAGTGTTTTTTGAAGTGCAAAGGCAAAAAATACGTCAAACAACTTCTGTTGCACGGGTTACTTGGTGCGACACCGCTTGTCATTCCTGGATGTATGCAAACAAACGCTCACAAATAATTATTTGTTCAGGTGTGCATGTGCATTTATTCTCTGTGCGTGGTTTCATACATCTATACATATATATGCATAATATAGATATATTGCACACGTGCGTACATATATAATAGATATATGCACGCATGTGTGCATTTTCCAGCTCTAGGCCTTCTTTTACCCAATGGGTAGTTATATTCTTGACGATTACCAAGGATCAACGCAAAAGCGCATATATTTTGCGATTTGCGTCCTTTGCTCGAGAAAGAAGACATAACAGATACATACAAATCGAACAATAATTCTGAACATGTATACTTACATATCCAAGCCGTATGAATAGAAAAGTGCTTGTAGGCAAGCATACGTATTCATATGTGCTCGAGGTGCAAATAGAAATTCATTTATGAACATGCATATTTATTTAGAGAGGGGGTAACATATGTTGCCTTCAAAAATTGCGCTTCGCGGAATTGCCCCCGTCTCTTCACTCATTACTTTTATACGAAGCTATTCAGTGTGCAGTACTGCACCTTATTTGTATGTTATACACCAAATGAGCGAAGATCGAACAGTTGGAAGGAGTTGTAGGCTGGGGCCGAGAGCCAGAAGTAGAAGCAAGCCAGGGACTTGTAATTCTGCAGTGACCATGCCTGTCATTGACAGGACGATTTAATTGTTCTGTACTTCTCTAGAGATGTCATTTGTTTTTTAGTGGGTGTTTAGGCTCAACAACGCCGCGGGTGTGTGCTCGTCTGCAGAGTTATGTGATCTCTTACTACTGGTACTACAGGTGAAGGCGTAAATCCGCTTAGCAACGGCTTGGCAGAGGTCCAATTTAAATATATGTGTAATGCCGATTTAAAGGGAGGCAATGTTTTCAGGTAGTGTGCTGAGCCAATTGACGGTCCATGACAGGCGGAGGCTGATGTTCCATTTCCTGGTGTTGTTCACGTGAAAACTGATTCCTTGACATTTACGGCTTCACATATGTTTACTCACAAGTTTATTTCTGTAATATTTTCTCTTATTTCAGGAGGAAGCAGCGCCGAAGGCAGTTTCAGAGAGCCGCTGACACGTCAGGTCACCCAATGGTGTGGATTTGCTGAAACCCCGAGTGTTGACTCTTACAACGCCACTTCTCGTTCTGATTAAGATTATTAATTGCTTTTAGTGGCATGATTAATTTTTTCGAGTTTCAAGAGTGGCGAAGCAGTTGATCTTTCTCCCTGCCGCAACGACGAAGGAAGCCGTCGCGAAACGCTATAGGCTGCCGCCGTCCTGAACCGCCAGCGCTGCATGCAAGCAAACACAGGCAACTGATCTCAAATGAAGAGTAGATCAGTCCCAGTATAAACCTACAATTTAACCCATAAAAATAGACAGTCCTAAGACGTGAGTGTTGGCATAGATATGTGAGTAGAAAGCAGAACGGAAAAACCCAGGAAGCCTCTGCAGTGAGCGTTGGTTCAATTAGGCTTCAAAGGGGGCCCCTGGGGCCCCCAATGAGTGCAAAAGGATTCTGTTGCCTTCCTGCTAGACAATGAGTCGGAATTTCAAGAGCCCACATCAGCGGCCTGCGGCCCCCCTCTGCGTTAAAGGGGTATTTTCGGGGGCCCTGGCGAACCAGACAGTTCACGTATCCAGCAGGCAACAGCAGCCTGACTGTTCTGGAGCTGTTCGTGCTCCGCGTCTGGCGCCTGGGGTACTTGGGGGCTGCAGAGCTGGGCAACCGCAGGACGGCAGCAGCAGCAGCAGCAACAGCAGCAGTAGCAAGGGAAGCTGCAACAGCACTGCGCCGTGTACCAGCAACATCACAGAAACCACCGCTCGCAGCAACACGAGCAGCTCTTTAGGCCCTAGGGGCATCCTAGATAGAAGGGGACGCCAGGCCCCCCAGAGAAGGGGCTCTCAGCCCGCCTGGGTTTCTGGCTTTGGATGCTTCAGTTCAAACCGGCGCTTTGTGGGAATATCGGAAGACCCCACGCACAGCAACGCCATCAGCATCCAGAACAATAGCAGCAGCAACAGAGTAGTTTCACAGCAATCGCAGCCAACTCGTAGTAGCAGACCAGAAGGCTCTCAAGCACCCACAGGCCCCCATGGAAATGGCGACACTTCGCAGCGTTCCCTAACTGAAGAACCGACTCATCAAGGTGGCAGGGCCTACCCCTTCCGCCGCAGCTCTCCTGCGAGTTTATGGATACGGGAGTCAGGCAGAGGCGACATTGCTGCAGCTGCTGCAGCTGCAGCGGCTGCTGCAAGAGGCGTCGCTAGCACTGCAGCCGCTGCACCGGCTGCAGTGCCAGACACGCCTGTTGCTGGGCATACGCTTGAATTGCTAGCAATCAGAGCATCTAGTGTAGCTGCAACACAGCAAGGAGATGATGTATCCAACCAGTTGCTTCGGAACGCGCCAAGAGGCACAACTGAGCAACTAGGACTTACAGGCGGCCGGCGCAGAAAGGCAGAGAGCCTTGAAGCCTCACTGCAACCGCTGTGGAGAGAAGGAGAACCCAAACAGGACGATGCACGACAGATCGTTTGTCGTTTTAAAGCACCCACCGAAGCGTGCAGCAAGCGGGAACATGCAGTTGCGCCTGAGGCTCGCTCTCGTCTCTCTCCTTCGGACGAGACCTTCAAGCATCAACTAACCGGACACCGCTTTCCTGAGACCACAGGTGCTAATCGTAGTAGCAATACCAGCAGCAACAGCGGCAGCAGCAGTTGCTGCGGCGACAGCAGCAATAGCAGTGCCTGCATTCCAAAGTTCAAGGGGGATGATTGTGGAGACAGTAAAACTACCACAGGCAGCGTGAGCAACAGCACCAGCGCCCAACGCAGTAGCAGTTTTACTGTTTCAGGTACTACCTACAAGTTGCCAGTCCTCGATAGAGTGCACGATCTCTGCACTTCCTCCTTAGTCCACCGTGAACAGCTCGTAACAAGAGGAGGACGTGCCGAGGGCGGGCATTTGTTAAAAGCTGTGGATGCCCCTCCAGAAACGCATTCTGCAGAGGCCCATAAGCCATGTCCTTCCATAAACGAAATCAGACAAGACCAGCCTGAGGCCACCGGAGCCCCAGGGGCCCCTGACGCCAGTGAAGCCTCTCTCGTTGCTGGGGCGTCCTGCAGGCAACAGCAGCCTGTGGAGCAGAGCAGACGCAGCATCAGTTCGAGTCCCCGCAACAGTAACGGCGCCGGCCAGTGCCGGATGCATAGTAGTAGCAGCAGCAGCAGCAACAGCAATATCAGTAGCAGCAGCAGTAGCAGTAGCAGTAGCAGCAGTAACAGCAGTAACAGCAAGTGCGAAGAAACCAACGGGCATCGACATGACAGGCCCGGAGGTGGGACAGTCTGTGCTAGCGAAACCCAGGTCTGCAGCGGCGCGAGTAACCACGACAGCAGCCATAACAATAACAACAACGCCAGCGACAACAGCAGCGGCACCAATAACATCTCCAACCTCAACAACGCGAGCAGCAGCCTGGCGTCCCAAGACACGCAAAAAATGTTTAACAGTTCATATGTCGGAAACCCTGGAGAGGTCCCCAACGCATCAGACCAAACAAGCAACTTGCGAGCCGCCGAATCAGCAGCAGATACAGCAGCAAGAAACCAAGACAGACCACGAGGGAGCCGCATTTCAGGGCGCCCTCACCAGAGCGCATCAGCCTACTTTGGAGGCTGGCGAAGGATGCAAAACTCCAGAGGGAGGGGTGGCCTCCGAAGGGCCCCTGCTTCGGGGGTTGCAGCTGTAAGGGTTTTGTCTGCACTTGGTGGGGTCTCCAGACAGGACGCAACCAAAGACGACGGCGCCGAGTCCCCTGTGAGCAGCCCAGGCAACAGTGACAACGAACGCTCTCTCAAGAAGTCAGCCTCCGGGCCGCCAACAAGGAGAATAGGGGCCTTGAGTTGTGGTGCATCTTCGTCCTTAACCCCTTTCGAAGAGTATGCAAATACAGGCAATGTTGTAGTGAAACAGGCACATATTGACCGCAGGCGGAACGTACGAATAGAGCAGGAGCTGTCGGCAGCAAGGGATTTGCTGCTGTTTTAGTCTGCCACTGTTGCTGAAAGACAAGTTGGCGCTGCTGGAGCAGTCCATTCGGTTTCTGGCTGTTGCCTGACATACAAGCTGCCGTTTCAAGTTTTCCCTTGTCTACTGTCATATGCTGTTTCCACTGCCATTGCGGGTATTGCTGCGGCTGCTTCTGTTGTTTATGGTGCTGCAGTATTTCTGCTGACATCACTTGGTTGTATTCTGTGACGGGAATCCGCGACTCGTCGGAGGCGAACTTGGTTGACACGATAGAGTTGATAATGGACAGGCCTTTGGGCCCCAGAACCCTGGGAGCTTTGGGGACATTTGGCTGCCTACGACAGCTGCGACTGGTGCAGCAGCAGCTCACATCCATTGACTTCGTTGGAGTTTGCAAAAACCTGCAGCTGCTACACCTCCCCGAGAACCAAATCGAGCGCCTTGAAGGTACTTACACTCACAAACATCCTCAACCAAAAGAGTGAACGTAGAAAGGAATACTGTCGCAACTTCCGGGCAGGCGACTTTGAGAGTGTAAAGCCCTTTCTTGTCTGCATGTCTAGTCCTTTAAATGTGGTTGTACGTCTCCCTAGTTGAAGTCCATTCGTAGGCATCACTTGGGTCCATCTGTTGTGGCTTCCTGAAGGAATCCAGAACTGCAAGTTTCTAGAAGAGGTGGACCTGACTGGCAACCGTATCGCTGACTTGGGCGTCCTCGCAGCTCCTCCACTTTCGCAGAAAGGGGTCACTCCAAGGGCCCATAAGGGGGCACCTCAGGGGGTCCCTCAGGAGGGAGCGCCCGAAGCTGCTGCGCAGGGTCCTCTAGATGCACTGCAGCGGCTGCACACCCTTCGACTGAACAGCAACCGACTGCGCAGCCTCAGGGGCGTTGAGGTCCTCACGAACTTGCGGGTGTTGGAGGTGGCCGACAACGAGTTGACGCATGTGGGTGCCGCCCTCAGCAATAACAAGAAACTTGAACAAATTAACGTTGCTGCGAATCAGTAAGCTCTTGCACCGTAAGCACGGATATTGCGCTTTGTCACCGAAGCAGAGGATGTCAACAGTGCACACTGCCTGTGAGAAACTTCATTCATGTTGTGGCTCATGTATATCTACTCGCAACTGCATCTGCTGCTTGAGTTGTACATAAGGAGGTTTATGCATGTACACGTATGGTGTACAAACCGTATATGCATACGTGTGTACGTATTACCCTTCAACTGAAGACTGTCAGACAAGTGGTTCTGCCCTATCCAACGCCGTGGTTGCCCTCTCTTTTTTCTCTGTCAGTGCCTGGTGTCCGTTGCCGGAACATGGCAAGGTGACGGCTCGTGTAGGCGCAGCTATCGTGTGGTGCTAGTCCTTGAGCTACTTACGGGTCATGAAGTTTTTGTTTTGCTTTGCCTCTCAGCATTTGGTCTTTGCACGAAGTAACCCTGCTGTCTCAGTTACCCCGCCTGGAGTCTCTTTTGTTTTCTGACGTTCATTTTCTGTCGAAGCAAAATCCCATTTGCAGACTTAAAAACCACGAAATGTTCGCCCTTTACCATATACCAATGCTCAAGGTACGGTGACCTTGCAGCCTGCGCCTGCGCTGCAGCCACATTTCCAGCAGATCCACTGGGTCTCTACGGTTTAGCTTGTATGGGAAAGACGTTTCATAGTTCTCACGGAAGAAGTTCAATGCTTCTCGTCGGTAGCTGTATGCAGGTTTCCATTACAACGTAAAACAAGATTAAGCAAGCGGGCATTTCCAGCTGAATGTGCAATTACTGTGCCACTTATATGGAAGCATTCTAACTCATATGGAGTATTTTAGCGCCTATGTTTTACTGGTTAAATTAGGAGAACATCCACTTAACTCCTAAATAGCTCAGGGCCTGTACCGACAAAATTCAATGGCCCAATGAGAGCAAGCGAAAAAAAAAGCAGATATGTTTTTGCCTAAGACCACGCAGGTCGCAGAGTGACGCCCAGTCTCGTATTGATTTTCTGTGTGTGGTCTGGGCTACAAAACCGGTAATGGTTTAGTATGCAATGCAAAGCGGAAAGAGACGCACGGCAGGCGGCCTGATAGGTGGCCATTCTGTGTGCAGTTTTATCCCTTAGGCTCTAAACCAAACGGTCCTTGACGCCGGCGACTCGGCTTTTGTTGCTGCAACATACCAGCGGAAAAGGCTTTATTATTTACTGGAACAACAGAAAACGAGACGAGAAGCAAGAGATGCAGTCAAGGAGTTAGATAGGCTCCATGGACAGTTCAGAGTGGCTATCAAGGATAACAGAAAATTCGCTGTACGCGCTCAACACGCCTCTCTTCAAACTGTAGACCGGGGGGGCGGGGGGCCTGCAAATTTCCTTGATGCGAATCATTGGCATGCGAATTTTTTATTTGCTTGACTACCCAAGTGCATTTCCCTTGTGCTCCTTGATCGATGGGATTGCTCTTGTTACAGCAGATGCTAATACGTTTTGTTTCTATGGAATGCTGTATGAGACAAAAGCCTCAATCTGCGTAGTGTGCTGCAATTAGCGGTTTGCATATCTATGGAAGAATTTTCTTTTTCAAGAACCCCAGGATCTACCGTTAGGAGTTCACATTTTGGGGTTAGAGTTTGGGGGTGTTCTGGATTGGACTATAGGACTTGGTGGTGGCTCGCGGGGAGCTCTGTGGGGGTGCATCCTTCTTTCGATGGCTTGCGGCTGAAGTGCGGAAACGGAGAGAGGCAATTCTTAGCACTCGCAAGAAAGAGTTGGAGCGATTCGGAAATATACATCTTGAGCTGGGGGATCCCAGTAAGACATGGTCAGTCAATCATTAGCCAAAGGCATTTGCTAGTGGATCATTTTAAAATTGTCTTAACCTGCATGTATTACTTTGCATGCAAACGTATACCCGCGTGCGTTACGTGGGGTCAGGAAAAGTCGAAAACTGTGAACTTGGTTGCCCAGCACGTCCGAGCTCGACCACGTTCAACGTTTTCGAGTATATACATAACTATAAACATATCTAACTTCGTTGCCTAGCGCGTGCGGGTTCGATCAGGTACAACCAGGTCCTCATCTCTGCGATTTTCCTGCAGCCCTCTATCTGCTTGCGTTTAGGTATCGGCGAGCTGCCGACTGTTTGTTTCGATCCTTTTACGCCCCTGATTTCTCGGATTTCGGATTTAGAGGTATAGAAATTAAAAGTGTCCACCGAATCGTCAACAGGGAGGCTGAGGCGGCTTTCGAGTTGCTCAGGTACAGCTAGCGGTTATTTATGCATACACCCCCGCATGCATACATGGACCAGCTTACGTAGATTCACGCGGATAACCCTCTTGTTGCTCCTGCATGCTTGCATTTGCAGTGATGGGTGTGATGTTCCAGTAATTACTCTTTAGTCTTTGCCGCAAAAGCTCTGCAGTATCCGTTTTGTCAAACCGCCTTCAATGCAAGTGAACTGCATTATTTTGGTGATTCCTGCTGCCGCTCACGGTAGGAGTGCTGCACCACCGTCATGGTGTTGGCAGCATGCTGCTGCTCCTCCTCGCAGTTGCATTCCTTGTCAGACCTGTGTACATTTTCTCCGGGAGCCTTAGGTTTAGCCTCCTTGTTACGAGGCGCCGCAGCATATGCATACGGGTGTTTACACGTGTGTATACATATGTACAGTGTCCTTCGCTGTCCTTCAGCTGTCGTTTACTGAGCGGCAAAAGTATAGTCGATCAACTTTTCTCATGTACCACCACACTGCATTCCCTTTACGTTTTAGCTGCTCTACTGTGACCCGTTACAGGAACGGCTGCGCTGTGGAGAGCACAGGCGACTGGGTGCTCTGCGGCGCCAACCCCCACCACCCATGCAGCCTGCTTAGGTAAGCGATTACATTTCCTGGAGTCCTGTATATATATATATATATGTGTACAAGCATATATCTGCATTTTCCCATATCTACCACCGTATCTGCGCAAATGTATAGACATCCTGCTGTACCGAAAAGTACACACATTTTTATATAAGTATTTTTATACAAGTATATATATATATATATATATATATATATATATATATATATATATATATATATATATTGTGGGGGGTTTATTACGCTCAGCGTTTTCCTGTGCCTTCAACAGCAGTGGCATTCATGCATGTACATAAATTACCTGCAGCAACTAGGCACGTCCCAGCACATACATTTGAATTAGTCAAAGCCACCTGGTTATATGCTCACAAGATCGGCATTAGTTCATTTCCATTATGGGTTGTTTTTGATGTTTCCCCAGGCAGTGCACTGCAGGCATGTATGGGGACTTATTCTCCCACCAAAATGGGCTCGAGCGCTCTCCTCTTATAGTCGCGTCAAACAGCCTAGCTGAGGCTGACCTGCCCCGTCTCCAGTGAGCATCGGTCTATGCATGAATGCGCTCATCGTATGCACTTACTTGCGTACACGCGCTACGCACAAATCCGTATGACTTGTCGTCGCCTAGGGTTTCTTCTCGGTTCCGTGAAGAACCCATGAGAATCTCCACATAGGTTAAAGAATAGCCGTGCGATGTGCTCTTGTGCAACGACTCTATAACACACTAAAGCGAGAGACTTGCTAAAGGTGGGGTAAGGGGCGTGTGTCTGTGCCCACAGTTCCTTGGCTTCGATTGAATCTTTCCAGGCCATTGCGAAACAAACGCTTGAGTTGGCCAAGGCGAATGCAGAGTCTGCTAAAGACAGTCGTCATTCTGGTGTGCCTACTGCGAGGACTGAAGGCACCACCACAAGCGAGGAAGGAGCGGCGCCGCTCAACAACTCTGTTGTGCAACAAGCGGTTAAGGATGGACGGCTTTCGCTGCCTGATGGGGAAGTGTTGCTCTGTCGGTGTCTCCTTCACGAGTGCTTGCCAGACATCCCTGTAGGGTATACACAACAGGAAATTCCAAGCATGATGGAACGAGGGCCCTCTAGAGGAATTATCAGCAAAGCAGAGGAACAATACAGTAAGCAACGATACTCAACGCGGTGCTTTAAATTCAAACAAAGAGCGCGCATGCATATTGCCCTACTCTGTAAATGAACAAAGCTGGTGTGCACCGTCAGCAGAGATACCGGCGCGTTCGCAGCTACACCAGATATTTGCTTTGTATACTGTTCTACGCCCTCCCTCCACGTCCCAGACTGCAAACGGCATTTACCTTCGTGAACGCAATCAGGAATAGGCCCATTCTAAGCAAGGAAACTTTCACGCGTCAAGGCATACGCTTTTTGACCTTGTGTTTTTTTCTGTCGGTTTTTTTCCGTAGAATGTGGGAACCAGGCTTCGTCAAATCCCTGTGCGTTGGCTGTCATCGGCCCTTCCAGCGTATACAAGCGAAGGATTTCGAACCCACAGATAAAAACATGGTGCGAACACGTCCCCGGCTCTAAATTCTAAACTATCAACATTCGTGCGAGTATAGTAGGAAGTCCATCGGATGTGCCTATGCATTAGCCAGCAGCTGATGGCACAGCACGTTGGACTCCAAGAAACAATAGGTACAGCTGCAACTGCACTCATGCAGTGAATAATTTTATGCAGATCAGACAAAAAGAAAATATTTGCTCCGAACCACTATACCATAAGTCGCACAACTAGAGAAGAGAGCCAAACGCTCGTGGATTTTGTGAATTTCGAATGGACGGCCAAAACAGCCGAATGAACACATTTTATCCCCAATTGTACTCGTGAAAGGTAAACATTCGGTTCATGAAGTACGTGTACCGAGAAGACGCAGAAAAAAGAGTGTTTGCCCTGCTATTGTGAAGTTTTCTTATTGTTTTCAAGGTGGTTTTTCGAGAATCACTACCTCGTTCCCCATTTCCTCGTTCGCTTTGCATATTCAAGAGATCCCTCAAATCCCGGTTCTTCAGCACCTGTCAACTCCTGTAGCAGGACAACACCTGCGCAGCCGGTTCCGAAAACAGTTCCGGATAAAGTAGCAGGTGCTGCTGCTGCTGCTGCAACTGGAGTCTCACCAGAGGCGGCGAGCGCAGCGGCAGCCCAGCAGGCTACGGAAGAGACAGAAGGACCCCAAGGGACGAAGTCGGCAGCACAAGCACAAAAACTCGATGAGGCTCTCCCGACCCCTAGTGCAGCCCCAGCAACGTACGCTTCAAGCAATTCAGGAAGCGCTCATCAGTACAGTTTAAATAATGCAGGCCAAGACCCGCGCAGCGCTTCACCCTTCGTAGACCTCATCAGGTACGCCACTTGCCCGCCGGCGTCCGCCGCCAGTTAGGCATTCATAGTGATTTTGATGGTTGTGAAGTAGGGCATTCCTGCGTTAACGTGTGACGCATACATTAAGGCAAAACGCAAACAACTTTGGAACAGGGTGAGAACTGCTCGGTATTGTAAGCAAGGAATCCGCTTTGATGCCGTTCGAAATCTGTGTCTGCCTCAGCATGGCTAAACACCTTTTGTCTATTCACACAAGCGAACTGACGAAAGGCGCAAAAGCCCAACAGCCATGCGAAGCAGACAGTAACTGCGAGGAGGTTTCTGGGGTATCTGGGGAGCTAGACCGGACGAAGCCCATCAAGTCCTGTTCCGGCATATCAACAGTAAATGGTGTTGTTTTCTGCGAAAGTCACTTGCAGCAGGTCCTGCTACAGACCTTTGGAACAGCGCCCCACCTCTATACCCTCGGATCCCTAGGGAGGCAGCAGGAGGCACCTCAGGAGCCTGCAGCAGTCGTCTGGAGAGCAGGTGACTGCAAGGCGCAGCTTGACTGCAACGGAGACGTTCTCTCTTTGAGCCTTAGCAGCAACGCGCATCTCATTGCATTAAGCCGAGGGGTCTTACTAAGTTTTCAGAGGCTTAGGGTGGGCAAACGTTGCTCTATTCTGTTTAGAGGCCTGATCTGTTTCTTAACTATGAAGGAATGCGAAAAACGTTACCCACCCCGTTTGCTGCTGCAACAGCTGCTGCTGTTCAGACTCCCTGGGTTGAATATACTCTTCTGTCATGACACGATTGTGCCGGAGACACTGACATCACAGCAGTCTCAACCAACGGTGTTATGCGATGCCCAGGAGCACTTTCCACAGGGTAGGAAGGAAAAGCTGAATTGGTTGTTTTGCTTTCCCCAGGTTCTGTTGCTCCCGCTTAACGGTCTGCGTAACTTTGATGCCCCTGGCGAGTCTCGCACAGCATCAGACGCTCCGGGTTCCCCGAGGGTCACTGCTTCAGGGCCCCAAAATGAAACCAGCAGGATAGAGCTGCCGCAGCTGCGGGTACTGGATTTGAGCTTCAATGAGCTCTGCACCCTCGACGGCTTCTGGGGCACCCCGCGTCTGCAGCAGCTGTGCCTTGTTGCTAATCACCTGCTGCTCTTGTCTGATCTTGCGCCCGTCGGTCCGCTCAGCCTTCACACACAATCAGCCATACGCACGCAAGCAGAAACAGCCAGACAGAAAACGCACACAAGATCAGGATAAAGCAGCCAGGCATAAGCAGTCGATCGCCATGATAGGGCGTTCGAAAGTCCGAAATAGCACACAGCAACATACAGCCGCATTCAGCGACATTCTCTCATGACGAAAGTGGGGGTTTAAGTCTCCCAGTCAGTGTGCGCACTATTCGCAGTGCACGCCAAATCCCTGAAAGCGCATTCCTGTGGGATTAACCCAAAACCGCACAACTTCAACAACTTAAAAAGGCTGCAGATGGGGCGACGCCTCAGACTTATCAGGCTCAAGTGAAGCGTTCATCGGACTGTGTTGCACAGACAATTGCGTTGTGCTGATGATACTCCTGCAGGGACCGCTGCTCCCCAACTGCGGCAGCTGTGGCTTGCGGGGAATCCTTTACAGATGGGGTCGCACAGTTCCCAGCAACTCCAGCAGCTGCTTCCCGCATTGGAGTTGCTCGATGGTCGGCCGCTGCAGACAACACCGGGAGATCCTCTGACTTGTCCGTTGAAGTCATCGAGCTCTTCACCGCCGACGCAAGACGATGCGCCGGGGGCTCCACCAGCACCTCATTGCGCGTGTGCAATAGGGGCACCTGTGATGACTCCGTCTAGCTTGCAGCAACCTGTATCAGCAGGAAACGAGCCACGAAGCTGGGCTATCGCTGCTGCCGCACAGGTTTCTTCCATGGACGAATCGCAAGGCCAACGATACTGGTGGGCACCAGGACAGTCAGCGTCCTTCTGCACTGTCAGGTGGCATGAAAACGATGACCGTAGCTAGAGACATGTCTCTTGATTGTCGATCAGCTGCACGTATCAAAGAACTGTGTACTGAGCTACCTTGTGGATGTGTCTGCCAATCTCGTGCTGAGGTCTGCTACAATTTGATCATTGGTATGGATCCCAGTTCAGGGGCCGGTGTTCTGCAATATTCGCAGCACGTGCAAGGCAGAGGATGCTCAGCTCTTGGCATGTTCCTTAGTGATTCCTAGAACGGGTCCTCGTGGGATAACTGAAGCTTCGAGGCCGTTGGAAGATCTTGACCCACTTCCTGTCGCGCTGCTGCTTCCTCCTTGCCGGGGTCCCGTTCAGCAATGCTGCTGCTTCTGCTGCTGTTGTTGCAGCTGCAGCTCCAGTCACTGCGAGGCAATCACTCCGCGTACAGCCGCTCGGCATGCAGCAACCCCTCGAATGCTAGAGAGTTCCGAAGCAGACAACCACACAAAGGGCTGTGGGGGCCTCTGTTCCGTCGCTGCTGCAATCAGGACAGCAAGGATATGCGGCTGGCGGCCATCCAGCAGCACTCAATCCTGTTGGCCTCCTTCGCAGTACCAGCAGTTCTCAAGTGCTGCTGCCCAGGGTTTCTCTAGAGAAACACTTATTGGAGCACCGGAACTCACCTGGAATAACTGGAGAGAAAAGGTAGACGTCTTGGAGATGTCATTCTTGCGACTGCGCGATGCCCCAAATATACACACTCTGGTTGGACTACGGAAGCTGGAGTTGTCTGAAAATAACCTTAGCAGCATTCAGGTTCGGCTTGATCTCACGCACGCAATACAGCCACTGCAGTAGCGAAGGTTTTAAGGTCTACGATCCCCCTGAAGCTCACTCATCTTTGTCTTGTACATGAGAGTCTGGGTCGGCAAATCTTCTTAAGCTGTGCGTCTAACATAATGCTGCGAAATGCAGCTTGTGCATCATGATTAGACTCAGGCTAATCGATATGAGAAAGCCCCCCGCAAAGAAGGCGACACCGTGTGGTGCTTTTCCTAATGTTGGTGCTACTAACACTTGCAGCATTGTGCTTTTCCTACCTGGCCTTCAGTTTTAAAGTGTTTCAGACTGAAAGGCCCCAACTGACTGCGTCCTTATTCCCCAGGCCTTTTTTTGCAGGGTCTGCTGGGATTGCGACTCCTTGAAGAGCTACTCCTCGACGGCAACAACATAGAAAGCCTTGAAGGCATTGAGTCTCTCTGCCATTTGGAGTGCCTCGACATTTCTCACAACTGCATCGTCTCGTTTCCCTCCGGCATGCAACAGCTGAAGCGGCTAGTCTTCCTCTGCGCTGAAAGCAACAAACTCCAACAACTGGAGCATCTGGAAGGCCTCCCGGCGCTTACACAGTTGTACTTGAGCAACAACGAAGTTCGAGCATTTCGGTGAACCACTTATAGAATCCGTTACTCATACATCTGTAGTTCTCCGTGCATTTACGCCAGGCGGTCCTGCCTGCGTATTTACGCCATAGACTATTTGCTGCTTCTGCTTCTGTAACCAAGACATGGAAATGCGCATAGCGAAACACAAATATTAGTATTAGTCTTGGTATATGCCCCCTGCTTTTAATGACACTGCGTGCATATTTTGTACATGCTTCAGATGCGTTGCAGCAACTGAGAAAGCTCACCAATACTCTCTATTGTTTCCATTTAGTGCATCACCCGCTGGGAAGAAATACTCACAAAGCCAATTTGTGAATTTGGCGATTTCCGTGCATGTTCGTCTGTTGCACGTTCAGGTCATTAATGCATCTCTCTCGGTGTCCATCCCTCCGTGTGCTTGATTTGCGCAACACGCCTTTAAGCATGGAAGCAGAATACCGTTCTTACTCCCTTTACCTCCTTCCCTGTTTAAAAATTTTGGATGGAGTTGAGCCAAGGCAAGAAGAAAAAGAAGAGATACAGCATGTCTTTGCGGGGAGGCTCACGAGAGAGCTGCTGGAACAGATTATAGGGAAGCAACTACCGTGTCTTGAGGGGTGCGACGGGTCATGAACTGGCCATAGCATTCACATCCGTCGCGAATTTAAAGTCTTCCTTATCAACAAACTTGCACTCGTGACTACATGCAAGTGAAATACTCATTCATTTTGCCCAACACATTATATCCTTCTGGACCGTTGACTCAAGGGTATTTCTACCACGCGCACCCACTAATTAATGTAGGATAATGTATTCGAAGTGTGCAGCGACAGCTTTCGATCGACTCCGTTCTTGTTTTTTTCCTTAGGTCAGTTGATTTGTCGGGTCATCGCCTTCGCCGTGTTTCCGACGTTATAACTGAGGAGAATTTTCCATTTTTGCTGAGCATTAATCTAAACCAAAACAAAATCACGAGTCTGGCTTCTTTGGGAACCCTGCCCCTTTTGAGAGTACAGTCTTTCAACTCACTGTACCAACCCACGTCGAGATTCACCATGAAAAAGCTCATACTTAATGAAGCATAAGGGGAGGAGGGAAGTTGTAAATGCAATAGGCTAAAGAGATACTTAGTCTTCAAGTTGGGTTAAAACCTATAGAACTCCTCGGCCGCTGCTCCATCTTTACGCCGGCTCGTACTATTACGGTGTTAACTGGCCAGCTGGCTACGGAAATTTGTATTTGCCAACAGAAAAGCATCACCATAGATAAATCTGTAGCTAGTGAAGACATACAGATACAGAAGGGCTAGACTATGTCTGTGTTATCCAGTGAATGCGTGCAGGAGTTGTCGGTAGCAAACAACAAAATTGACCTCGCAGCGGGGGGCTTAGGTGGGGTTGACGGGCCAGGACTGATCTCGTTGCCACTGTTAGAGGTATGCATAGCCATAGACAAATCTGTAGCTAATGAAGATGTAGAGAGGCAGAACGCAAACATTCATTACTTTCAGGTCTCTGCTTTGGCCGCTGTTCCGCTCTATTTGACCCTCTTTGCAGCGGCTAGATCTAAGTTTCAACTCTCTCAGGAGTCTAAAAAACTTGGCAACAGCGCCACTTGGAAGCATTAGAATACTGCAGTTGCGTGGAAATGGCCTGTCGAGGGTTGAGGGTTTTGGAACCTGCTGCCGCCTAGAGGTGCTCGATCTCAGTGACAATCGAATCAGACGAATCGATTCGGAGGCATTCCAGGGTGCTGCTGAGACTCTGCGCTGTTTGGTAATGGAACGAAATGGACTCAGGTAGCCTTGCGAGCGCATAGACTTAACTGTTGACCTAACACCCCTTTTCTTGCTAGCAAGCAGCTAGCACGTAGCTATCGTTCAACTAATTTTAGTGAAAAGCTCTATTGTCGAGAATTCGTTTCACAATTTAGCAAACGTTTAAGCACTAGCCTGACAATGGCTGTACGCCTTTAAGTGGTTCATGAACTATACAGCGAAGAAATAAGGAGGACATGTCACACAATAACTCGTCGTTTAAAAGCGAGCTTCAGTGAACTTAGGGGTGAGGATAAAAGCATTACACGCACATGAATAACCCGTGGTGAATGTCGACTTGTCTGCGTCCTTCAGGTCCCTGTCCGGCTTTCCATTTCTACCCAATCTGGAGGAACTGCGAATAGCTCAGAATAGGATACCGGACTTCACGCAGACAGAATATCTTGTTCAACTGCCCAAGCTTAAGCAAATAGGGTGGGCCGGTGTCGTTCCACAGTACAGTGCAACAGGCTAGAATCCCTGTTAAGGCAATGAGCGAGCAGTAGCAACAATGATGAAGCATTGACTTGCCTTTTCTCCTGTAGCCTGGCGTCCTGCGCTGAGCAGCTTTGTATCCCGCAGAAGCGGAAATCGCTCTTCTTTTACTCATGTTTTGGTTCAGTGCATACTTGCTGCTTCTTAGCCGATTCCTTTACTCGGTCTGTCATGCAGGTTTCAGCAGAACCCTGCCTGTCAACGCCGTCAATGGCGTTCGATCCTAGCTGAGCAGCTCCCCTATCTAGAGGCAATAGATGGAGAGATTATTTCACTTGAAGAGGTCCAAAGGAAGCTACCTGTTGGCATCCCAGAAGGGCTTCCTATTCCTGAAGACCATGGGCAGCCACTCGGCGAAGCAACGAATGACGAGACGGATACAGCAGTGGGGACAACCCACCAGCAATCAACCCCCGACTACCAAATCCTACAGCAGCACCAGCAGCTACTGCTTTGCTATTCGGCCAAGATGTCGAAGGGCCGACCAGTAGTGCAGCCGAAACCTGAAGGCACCGTTGTAGCAGCAATCCCAAAAAGCAAGCCGCCAGCAGCGGTACCAGAGTTAGTGGCGCTTAATCTTGGTGTTGTGGGAGTGGGTGCTCCTGGTATCTCGCCCAGTAATGGTGCTGCATCATTTCTGTCTCGTCGCGAACCTCCGTCAGAGTCCTCAGGTGTGATCCCAGATTGGTAGCGCTTTCTCTGAGGCCGAATATTGCAAAAGCCCATGGTCACACTGCAGTGACCCCTAATCTGTAATGCCTAGTTTCTGAAAGCACTGCACAAAAAACCAAGTAAAACGCCATAATAGTGTCTACTTTTAGCCGCTTGCTTTTTGGTGTATTCCTCCAGGTCTGCAAACACTCGGGGTTCAGAAAGGCCTCAGAGCAGCGAGCAGATATCTTCTGAAGGTCAACCGCTGTGGAGCCAGCGACGACCGTCAAATGCCTCTTCACGGTCCTGGCTGGACCAAAGGGGAGCCATGCAGTGGTGTTGACCGATACACTAGAAGCAGCAGTACTGACGTCTGTGGTATTATCCCGAGCTGGTGCCCCCCAGCTCCTCCCTTCTTGTCCACTCTCCAGCAGCAAGAGGCATTAGACCCTTCCAACGAAACAAGGCCCCAGCGTGGGTTTGAAATATCCTACTTGGGGCCATCAATGTCGAACAGTAGCAGTGCAGGTACACAGTTGCCTTCAATGCTACAAGGGCTTTGCCTTCATGCAGAACGGGAACGGGGGCAAGCAAAGGGCACTCGATATAATGCGAGGATAAAAAATCACAAGAAAATAACTGGCTGAAGAAACACAACTCTCAAACCGAAAGTGTTTTCTCCGTGTGTTGATCACGCCTTTTATTCGCCTGATTCAAACGACGCCGGCAGCCACGTAGTTCACTCGGCAGTAGAGGAGCCAAGTTGCTTATGGAGTTGCAGAGCCCAAACCTAATAACTAAAATATGCTTGCGTTCAAGTTTATTCGCCAGCTTTTAAGTAACATATAGGGAGAGCCTGAATATGTGGGTTTCACTGGTTCTGCGCTCTACGCCACGAGCCAATTGACCAATTGACAGACTGCCTGTGGTGAAGGATGAAGCTCTAATATGTACTTAGTAGGCTACTTTTAGCCGTATAGTCCACTCTCGTAAGGTGACGAGAAGCCAGACGGTGTGCGTTTTGAACTTGCTTTAAGCTTAGTGAGGGGAAAAATGTCACAGTGTAGCAAATACAGGCAATATGCAACATCTTATACATCATCTCACGCTTTCGAGCAGACCCTTTCTGACGTGCTAACAGTCAAAGCTCCCTAGAATAACTCCGTTCTCATGCACTCTCCTATGGTCAGCGGGGAGCCGGACGGAGTGTGGTTTGAACGTGCTTTTAGATTGGAAAGCGAAAAAGGGTGCAGTGAAGCTGATACAGGCAGTATGGAACTTTACGTAGTCGTATACGCACTCAACAAAAGCACCAGCATGCTTGTACTGACCTGGCAGATGTGTATTTATTGTGTGGGGGCAGGTCAAATGGAAGATAAACATAGTCAGTGGAATATCCGTCTGCTGTTCGTTTTAGGCAGAAAACCCTTCGTCCGTTTGTTTGAGTAGTCAGGTCGCTAAGTAGTATCCCAGCTCGCCATGCATGTATGTTCCAATATTGCACTGCTGAAAAGCGTGGATAGGAGGTGAACACTGAAGTCACAGCATCTCACGTGGCTCTCACGTAGAGCATGTACACTGTGGGAACACAGCTGCATCTCATGGTTGGAAGTGCCACAACATCGTTTCAAGCCTCATTCTGGTTGTGCAAGGATTGAGCGGGTCGGTTACACTCGCGAAAATGCGTCCACAACACCGCCTGCGCCTCTCAATGTGCCCAAACGACTTAAAGCGCACCTTATCTATCTACCTATAAGCAGATAAGAGAAATACATGCTTCAGCATCCTAGATGAGAAGGAATGGAAGTACCGGGATGGACGCGTTGGAACCTTCAGCATATGCTGTTTCTATTTTATGCCTATGCTTCCACTCAACTACAGATGGAGGGCATGAAAACTAGCACGGCAGGCTCTTGGTGACTGGGCCTGGTACGCTGTGTGCAGCATACGTGTGGCCTCGGCTATTCTGAGCATCAAAAGCAAATACGGATATCTAGGGTATACAAAACGCAGGTATTCTACGGCTGGAAAGGAGGTCTTGCCTTTCAGTGCAACTCTGAGGAGGAATATATGCATCGCTGATACGGCCCGAAGACCTGCTTGCCGAATTTCGTAATCGTCCTTGATTTAATTTCGTGCTCATTCAAGCTTTTGTTGAGAACCATAAGTTGGCAGCATCGAGGGCAGCGAGGAGGTTCTTGGGAACAAAAACCATGCTGGGGACACAGCGGCTGCGCTGCACGGAAGGGAAGCGAGGGAAGACTAGACATTGTGTAAAACGCAGCCCCAGCCCGGAACTGGGTTGTCCTGCAATGGTGCTGAAGCCTGTTTCCATCCAATCACCACGACGTAACCGTAGGCGCGCAGCAACTGGACGTCAGGCATAACATACTATTGAAATGCATGGGCTAGAAAGCAATGAGATACTACACCAACTAGAGATTTCAGTGGAATGGCAGTAGCATGAATCCACCCTATAAAAAAAGCTAGAGAGGGGAATGCAACTTAGCTCCAGTCCTAGCCCTACAAGCCTTGTGCCTGTCGGATGTTCAATCCGCTTCAAACGCGATAAGCTAGCGGGAAGTAGGAGCTCGCTATGAGTGAACTCATATGTCGAACACTTATTTGCCGTCATATTGATGGGAAGCCCTCATATATCCTGGTGTTAGGAACTTGCCGGCCTCATCGAAAACATGAATGAGAGGTTAGGACCCTAAGGATCTGAAGACGCTCAAGGACTGAACCTTACTAGCAGTAGGTGCTGCATTGAGTGCTGGTGGGTAGCCTTCTGGCACCTTTTTCTCGCCAGAAGCTTGGGTCAAGATTGGCCTCGCAGAAAGGTATGGCAAAAGCCTAGAATTGTGGGAGTACTTGCGCTTGAAGAAGAGTACTGCTGGTGAGCAAGCACTCCGTCATTCAGTCTTATCCTTGCTTGAGAATGGTGTCTCAGCCAGGTTATGCCCGCCTACCGTGATAGTCAGCAGTGGGCTTGAAGGGGTGGACCCCACAATTGGCTTTCACTGAAGCAACCGATTTGTATATCATGCTTATTAAAAATATTAAACCAAAACCTTATTAACTTAATTAGCGACAACCAAACCCAGCATGGCATGGGAGGGAATGCTGGGTTAGCGCACACATCAACAGTCTCCTTGGCGCGCAGCATATCCATTGTTATTGGTCCACTACATCTCATCGTCCAAGGGGAACCGAATTCCTGCTAGGGCTTACAGTGTAGTTTCTGTCTGCGTTTCTGTTGTCGTGGGGGGCACAGCACGCAGAGCTGCGGCCATTGTTTCGTTGCAGCCACAAAACGCGGTCCAGTTTCCAGGGCCCTATGATCGTTATGGCCCCAAACTCCTCTTAGCAGGCCTGCTGAAGGAGAGTTTCTCACAGCGCCCCTTAAGATCTTGCGATGCGAAATGTGAAGTAATTAGTGGGATATAGAAAAGAAAGTCTGCCCTTCTATACCTGAAACAAGGGGGCAGAAGGCTGGCCTAACGTAAGAAATTCACACAACTCCCCCGGTGCAATCCTTCCTCTACTTTTGTCAAGTGCCTTATTTCCCTACTTCGACGCATGTTGGCGACAAGTTTGACGCGCGCTGTCCATATATGTCAACCCCCCAGCACGTAAGATGTCATATCTTAAAATATGGATCGACGACATCCCCTACAAAGAATGGCAGTGCGAAATTTTCCTTATGACGTCTGAGTTCTAAACATTCCCTGTAACCACCCTAGTACCATGTGACCAAACTCTACAGTAGGGTGCATTTCTATTAATATAAGACATACCGGAAACTGGGGTATTTCACAACATTCTGACATTTGCATTAGTTCTCCCGGTACTTCGATGACAATTGGCTAGTGCGCAGGGGTCTTGATTTTTGGTTTTTTTAAACCACCAGGTAAGCAGAGCACGACTGTTCTACTAGGGCAGTCTCGCCAGGGCTTGATTTGCACTACAAGGGCTTTGGATGCTCACATAAAGCTGTAGAGCAGTCACAGCGATTGACCCGAGGTTCAATCGTTCTGGTCATCCTAAGGCTTGGTGCGAGCAGGCAATCATTTTGCCACACGATCATGAATCATTGTGGTTGATCCCCGGCTTGCAACGAGCACGGAAGTGCTTTCTAGTTTGCTCGGATAAACCTGTACTTGGAGTCGTAGAGATCAGGGAAGTCTGACGGTAGCACCAGTCTATCCTCAGCAATATTTTTTCCTGCAAAAGGAAACCGTCAGCGCTACTAAAAGATAATCGGCGTGGCCGGACGTTTGTCCCATTTGCCAATTTCTGATGTTATTTTTCGACACAAATCCCTTACGGGTGTGCATCTGTAGCTCTGCTAAGCCTTAGTGCACTCGGCAAACGCTTTTGGAAGCCAATATGTGCCGTCACGGGCCGTACCGAGAAAGAAGAATGAGAGACATGCAGAGACCTGTTGCCAGCAGCAGGAAAAAACTGCTAAGCTTAACTCCTGAAGGTACTAATGCCGCCTTTCGTGTCCTGCGCTGCAGCCGTTTCCCTTCACTTTTCTCTACTTGGAGAGAAGTGAGAAATACTTAACGACCGCAGTGGAGCACCGGACCGTGCCTCAGTAGTCTTGCCTCAACGACAAGTTCAGCTGACCGGTGCTGTAGTGAATACTCCCTACAATCACGGCAGCAATGGCGTGCTCGTTGTGAACCGAGCGAGGGTTGTATGAATAGTGGAAGTCTCTGTGAGTTCTTATTGGTGTGCATTGAATATAACAGTGGTGGATGCATTAAGCGCGCTTTATGGAGCTACCATTGGTATGGTTATAGGAGAGGCTGGCGTGTGCCTTCGTGCAAAAGCTGTTGCGCCAGGCTACGCCATCCGCTCTCCCAGTTTCAAAGGCCGCAGTCCCTGCTCTACTAGGGTTGAGTGAGAACAATTTCCGGAGAGAGAAAAAACTGAGAGAACTTATTTCCTTAACCTTTGTTAGTTTGATATGTTTTGTTCAGTATAATAGATATTGCTTGCCAGCTCGCTGTACTCAGCTGTGGGGTCCCAGCCATGCGCCCCACAGTGGCCGTTCAGCGATACAACCTCGTAGTACGTAAAGCTTACTGCAAATACTTGTACAAAGGAAGAATGCTGTAAGCTATCTTGACCAGATCTCAGCATTGCGTGAGGGAACTGAGGGCTCTGCCTCATTTCTCATCAGCTTACAGGGGCTGCAGTACCTAGAGTGTTATCGAATCCCATCAGCCCACCGTGTGAGGGAACTTGGATGCCTTCTACGCCTCACAATTGCGATCTTCACCTGCGTTTGTGTTGTCGTTGTGGGCACGAGACTCAGAGCTGCTGCCAGGGAGTAGTGCATCTACTGACGTGAGTGATCAGGCTCCGAGGGCCACATGATCCCTAAGGCCCTGAACTCCGCTTAGACTGGCCCTTCTGAAGGGGATTTTCTCACAGCTGGCACCTTTAAGACGACTCGCCAATGACCCGTCTGACCCCCAAAATAATAAGCGCGCAGGGAGAGTTTGTAACCGATCAAATCATAGACGCTACACTTATGTTAAATTGAAGCCTATTTTCCTTCGGTTGGGTAATCCTACAAACACTCCTCTAGATTCTGTAGCTTGGAAAAAACCAATATCGTCCCCCCGGGCTGCTCAAAGTGGTTTTTCTCGTCTCAAAATGCTGTTTGCCTCCGTCCTGCTCTAATCATGATCTGGAGGACTCGCCTTGATAATTGGGGCTGCTGGGGGTGTGCTGTGTCTCCACTGCGTTAATACGATACTAAGAGGATGTGCTATTTACGCTAATGCGAGCTACCCCAGTGAACCGGAAGAGGCCCTTCTCCCAAGCCATATAAGATACGTCCATCTAGGCAGAAAAGTCAGGTCAGCCCGCCGGCGTTGCGGTGGTTGTTAACAACCTGCAACAACGACCCTAACTGGATATGCACCTGCACCCGTACCTCCCGTGATCCAGGTGGATAGAGCGTGCTGCATGCAGCCGCGTTTAGTCATCCTAATAATTTGACTGAATGCAGGAATGCTCTGGGAAAATACGGTGTGAGTATACTCACAGACAGGAAGTAGGTATTAGTTATGCTCCACACGATAATCAAGGAGACCGAGTGCGTAAACGCATGCGCTGCCGCCGTTATGTTAATGAGCACCACCGAGGGCAATCCGTGGGCATCGGCTCATGCTTTTCTGCACAGGTTTCAGTGAGATCCGGAAGACGGGAGGCAAACGGGTCGCTTGAGGTTGGGGTAGCTTGTATGTCACCCTTCTCCTGCTCTAAGGA